AGAGAGAGAGAGAGAGAGAGAGAGAGAGAGAGAGAGAGAGAGAGAGAACAAAACTGGGGTTGCCCCACAGACTTTTCTCATACTTTCACAGCACCTCCACAACAACCCCTTGGGTATGTTGTTGCCTTTACCTGGTGTGGAAGCAGCATCAGTCAGGCTGCCAGGGTTTGGGAATTCCTTCCTGAGGCTCTTGTCTGTCCGCTAAGCCTGCCTCCCACTGTCCTGGGTTCTACTCAGGCCTGGCCAGATTCAGGATATTTCTTCCATGGGATCAGACAGATGGATCTCAGACTCAGATCTCATGTGGTCACCCTCCATTTATCCCCAGAACGTGTGTACACAGATCAGGCATGAGCAGGCTCTCCCTTACATACCCAGGGCTCTCCACTTCCTGGTTGTTCTCTTATAACTGAAAGTGGAAGTGTTCTGACAGGAAAGAAGTCGTCCCCAGCTAAGCCTTTAACTCCTGCCTAAGAGATTTCCAACTGATTTCTGTTTCAGTGTTATAAACCCAAAGGAGTCTGCCTGTGTTTTACCACCTTAAACAAAACCTTGCAACCATACCTCACCCCACAAATTTAAACATACCCAAGGTTTTCCAGTCAGAGTCACCTAGCATAACTAGTGTTTGAATAGAGCAGAAAGAGGCTAGGAAAAGCTGACATTTGACCACACTACTAGGAGCCAATGTACAAAAGACCATGTGCATCTACCTGGGCCCCACCTGCCTTTAGAATCCCAGAAGCTCCTCCAGTTCTGACAGCTGTCAGTATAGAGAGTTTAAAGATTAGTGCTTTAGGACTTACTGGGTAAAAACCCACTCATAAGAAAGTTTCTAAGTGGCCTCACCTTATCTCCACCCCACCCTTCACTAGATCCCTAATTAACCTATCTTATTGTGATCTCATTCGCATTCTTCTAATTGGGTTTACTTAGAAATGGGAAAACTTGGGGAAGAATAAGAAGTATTGACTAAGAATGGAATAATTGAAGCTTTGCTGGGGGAGAAAGGGTTAATTTACTCCTTAATTTAATTTAGCTCCCCTTTAGCCCTACACCTACCTCAGAAGTACTAAGAATGTAAAGCCATTTTTTTCCACAGATCTTGTTTTTTCAAAAACAGGTAGAGTTTATTATGGGATATTTTGCCTTTTTTTTTTTACCCAGATGTTTAGTCAGCTATGGTTCATTCTTTCAACCAGGGTTCTTAAGGGACCTCCAAGTGGTCTATGGATAGATTTAAGGAGTAGAGGTTGTAAATTTGGATGGGAAAAAATATGTCTTTATTTTCACTCATCTTTAACTAAAATTTATCATTGTATTAAATTTTGATTTACACTGGGCAAGTCACTTAACTCTGATTGCCTCACAAAAAAAAATTTTTTTTTTCATTTAAAAAAGCCCCATGATTCTAAGAAGGAATTCATAGTCTTCACCAGACTCCCCAAGGGATCCATGACACAAAAAAGATTAAAGACCTATGCTTTTAGACAGTGCTATACTTCCTTAAAATCAGATCTATCCAAGAAGTCTTCTGCTAAATCCTCTGCATGATGGAGATGATCTAAACCAGTTTTTCCTCTCAGAAATAACTGATTAGAAAAGGGAAAGATCAAGCATGAGGTGTAATTTAACCCAATCTAGCCATCATCCTGACCTTTTGGCATCTACCTACTCAACCCCAAATGTCTCTTTTTATAGAGT